TTTGTGATGAGAACAAGCGAAATATGAAAACTTTTGATGAACGAATTTTTTTCTTGAACTGGTTGAATGTGATGTGGACATGACATGCTTTGTCTTTTTGTTCAAAGTTATGTCGGTCTTCTGCATAGTAGGGTTGTCTGTTAGTGCTCGTCTCATGCTTGAGCGATAGACAGGTACATATCTGCATTTTTCTTTTCGCATTGTCTTTTTTTGTATGATTCTGTTTTGTAGGACTTTGACTAGCCTCTGAGTCAGTAGAAGTTATGGGAGCCTCTTCTACTTAGAAGAGATACTGCCAAAATTTTTGCTAAATACTTAAAGTTAGTCAAGTTTCAAAGATGTCAGCTAGGATAGGATATAGTTTAGTCCTTGGGGTCAGTAGGAATTTTAAAAACCTTCCTTTCTAAAGGAAGTGCTGCCGAAATTTCTACTAAAACCAAGAAGTTAGTTTATGGTAAGATATTTTCAGAGTGACCAATTTTTTTTTTGAGATTTAGTACAGTAAATATTCTTCACGCACACTTCCCTAAAGGAAGTGCTGCCGAAATTTTTGGGATTTTCACATCGTTACCAGACGTTGCTGCTAAGTAGCTTGAGGTGCAATACGGAGTTGAACTCCGTTAACTCGACAGGTGATGTCTGCCTTAATCTTTGTGACGCATGTCATTGCTACCTACAAGTGTTCTTCGAAGTCTTGAGATTCATCAACTTCTGCTATCAGATCGATAGCAGGTCGGTTTGCGACTCAACTCCTACCCACTGTGATACCCACGCCCAAATGTCTGTGACCCTGTAGGCGAAAGGCATTTTCGTATGAAAGAAAACTCATCATTGGAACTTCTATTGAATGGTCATGCAAAAGTTGTGTGAAATAAATCTGTCGGGCATACCTTTGCCGAATTGGGGTCGAAAAGAGGCGTATGGGACATGAGCTTGGGAGCAAAGGGGTTGACCACGTTTTGTGGCATTGAATGTGAATTTTCATTGGGTTTCATATATGTGCGGGTATGTATGGGAGCGAGGACTCGCTCCTGGATTGAGAGTGATATGGATGGATGAGTGCAGGGTGTGAGTGACAAGGTTCAACTATGGCTGTCAGAATGACTCTCCCTGATTTCCCCAGAGAGTCGTTTTTTTTTTTTTTTCTTATTTTGCTCCTGCCGCACACATCTAGCGAACAGGCAGGGGTAGTCGAGCGCAAGGTTTAACGCTTGACCTTTGATTGAACCGAAACTTAGTTTGGGTATGGCGAATCGCTCCCCAACTCGTGACTACTCTTATTTTCTTCCCTAAGGGGAGGGACGAGCGAATCTCATCTCAAAAGGGGTTTTGCGTTTTAAATTATTAGTCGGACGTTGGTCCTGAGTCTGAAATTCGAGATCCTTGTCCAGGACATTTCAGACTCGAGTCCAACACAAAAGGGTTTCCCCCTTGAGTCGGGCCTACGCCTCTTGCTTATGGTCACCCACTGCCTAAAAGGCAGGGGCGCCGCAAGGGCCGCACGGCTTATCCTTCAGTCGTGCAATATCATAAAGGACGAACCCTTCATGATATTTTGTTTTCGACACTTGAGTGTCGTACGCAACCCCGAAACCCATGAGAGGGTGCGTGGATGTGGGTAACGCATGAAGCGTCGTCATGACAGCAGATCAAGCGAGTACAACATGACTGAGCGTTATGATTCCCTTGATGGTTGCATTCTTTTTATGCAACTTCGTGTGGGTCTCGCTCAGACACAAAGGTTTTCCGAGTTATGGTTCAGGACGTATGAAAAAGGGACTAGACTTATTTGTTTGTATCAGTTAGTTCGTTTTGTTGCGTATCGCGTGGTTGAGTTAAAATGTTCTAGTCAACCGACGTTGAATCGCATGTGGGAGATCAGCGCCCCAGCGTGACGGCTCGTGTACGAGTCCGAGCTAGGCGTGGACCGCACGTACCCCCTATGCTATAACGTACGAGAAACGCCCTTGGTTGGGCCACCTCCGCGATTGCAAGTAAAAACTTTCGCATGTGGTTCAGTAGCTCGGCGGGGATACACCCACCCAAGGGATGGTGACAACTCCCGCAGACCCTGTCGTGTCGTAGGGACTCGATGGAGGTATAGCTGGCGCACTCGGCCAGAGCGGCTCCGCCGCTTCATTTTTCGTGAAGCGACTTGCGAATTCTGCCAATCCTGCGTGACGCGGCCGCGAAGGTTCCCCTAGCGGGGACCATGCGCTCGATAGGTGGCGCCGTTGCCGGGGATCTCGACTGCCTACCGAGGTCCATAGTGAACGGACTTGGGTTTAGTGCAGAACGATGATCCAAGCAAAACGACACTTTTTGTGATTAGGAAAATGATATAGTGTTTTTGACTTTGATATTGCCGTTACGACCTAAGGGAATGTCCCTATGAATCTTGTCAGGCCGAAAGAAGGGCATCGCTGTCATAATTAGGAACGCTAAGTATTAGGACTTGGCGTGACATGGGCAAATTCGTAGTATGATTGTATGGTGGTGTGAATGCTTATGAACGAGTGTTGAGAGTTCAAGCTAGGCAGCAGGGGACAACCTCTTAAGGTCTGGGGTTGGACTGACTATAAGGGAAGGTTGAAATTCTTAGAGTAGTTAGGTTCACCTTGTATAATTGTTGTATATTGACGGGAACCCGATTGACAGAGCACGAGATGGCGGGACAGGAGGATGAGCGACTAGCCACGTCTTCGATACTGGACTCTTTCCATTACGAGGGTGGACATATATTTCTATTTTTTGATGGTTTAGTTAGGCAGGTTTGGGTCCTTGGGTTAGATTTCACTCAGATGACAGAGAGGGTTAGGGGTACTGGCAGCTATGAGGAGCGTGTGACTCAGATCGTGAGAGAGTCATTGGATTGGAGGCAGTTCGCCAGGTGGATGCCGACATTGCGGCTTCAACCCATTGATCGACAGTGTAGGCCCATGCGTTTTGATGTGGCTAACCTGGATGAGTTCCTTGAGGTTTTCGTTATTTTTGGGGATGGGCAGAGATGGACTGAGGCACAGATGGTTAGGCAGGTACAGCAGTGGGTTGTCCCAGATCTTAGACATGAGGTGAGTACCATGTCACACACAGTGCAGACTTGGGCGGAGCTTATAGCGACGCTTAGAAGGGCGTTCACCGCTGACAGACGACGCAGACTGTGCAAAGAGGTTGGGGATTACATCCCAGAGCTTAGGGTACGCCCGCGAGCGCAGCTAGAGAGGGATTAGGACAATGAGGGGCGATCGCGAGAGAGGCGGAGTGAGAGTGAGCATCCAGAGATCCCACGCAGGCCTAGGACAGGCAGGCGTCGAGGACGTCGGGATACAGGGGATGATCTAGAGAAGAGTGATCACGTGTTGACTGTGGATATTAGGAGGACCCTCCCGACAGATGATGTGGGGGAGGAGGCCTTACCAGCAAGGTCTCAGAGATAAGGTGACTCATCTATCCCTGAGATTGGGACATCGCCAGTACCAAAGGCATGTCAGGGTGAGACAGGGATTAGAGATTGCGATCCTGGAGATGCACCTGATCCAGATGAGAGTACTCAGCCTATATGCTCAGACAGGATGGGGAGGAGGCTTCCCTACAGCTTGCGTTGGCGGCTCCTTCGGCCCAGCCTATAGAGATTGATACCATGGAGAGAGTGGTTTCCGATACTACATCGGAGGATAGGAGGGATATGCCTTATCGGTGGAGAGACACACGAGACATGACATTAGATCTCCCACAAGGAGAGCTACCGCTTATGATAGGGTCTGCCACCATAGAGCCGATGCAAGAGCACGAGGGGCCTCAACCTGAGTAGGCGGGAGATGTGACGCCGATACATTATAAGCTAGGGCATGATGGGCAAAGGGTTCAGCCTCAGTCAGAGCCAGCAGTGGAGGATGGTGAGAGAGGTGCGATGGGACCCTTATCATTGGACGGATCGCCATTACTGAGCGAGAGTCGATTGGCTGAGCAGCCAATTGAGTCTGAGGGTTCATTGACTGCCCAACTATATGACATGGAGTCTCCTAGGATGTAGGTACGACAGGAGGTATCCCAACCATCGGCCATGGATGTAGAGACAGAGCAGGTTGAGGCCAAGGTCTTGGGATTAGATAGGGGGGATCCCACAGAGGGCATACAAACCCAGCAAGTGGGATCGACACCTCTGGATTTTGGGGATACTCCTCGACGAGACGGTGATAGGAGTGAGGCCAGCATGAGGGGCCACGTTGAGGCAGGCCCGGAGCATACCCAGGACGCATCTCCGACTCATGAGGAGGGGAGCTTGCCGGAGTCTTGGGGGACGATAGATCACGAGCCTGTCAGGAGGGATGCATGGCTAGCCGAGGAGATGGGACGGATGCCATCATTACATTTTCCAGGCTGGCTGGCTTTTGAGCGACTGGTCCAGGGCGCGAGACCGCATTTGGCCAGTTGATCAGAGCATTGATGGGCTTAGAGTACTGTATAATGACTTAACCTTGCAGAGGACCTATATTGGTAGCGGCCTCACAACAGCTCGAGAGGCGACGGAGCAGGTTAGAGATTATACGAGGAGAGTTGCCATCTGATCCTTTAAGCTGAGTCGTGACAGACAGACGGAGTATGATGCACTGAGAGAGGTGGTGAGTGATTACGGTTGTTGAGGGAAGAGAGGCCCAGACTCTCTAGGAGGCTGAGGCGATCCTCAGGATTCAGGAGAGAGAGGCGAGTGATTGGCGAGCCCAGGTTCAGAGGGTGCTCAGAGAGTATGAGCCACCTGCTGACGCGACAAATAGAGATAGGCTCGAGCGCAGGTTTGTCCTTGAGACTGTGCGATCATCTCAGTTGGGGAGCCAGGTATCGACTCTTGTCAGGTTACGACAAGAGACCGAGGAGCAGACACAGAGGCTCTTCTATGAGGATGCGGCCACAAACGGATGGCAGGAGGAGGTTAGGATGAGGTGACAGACAAAAGAGGAGCCTATGCCTGAGGGCGAGCGTACGCAGGCAGAGTGAGGGACTCCAGGCGAGATTATTATCTGACGCCTCAGTGCGAGAGTTGGGAGGAGTGATGAAGCATGTCAGGAGGCTCACGCAGACCGAGGTTATGCGAGGAGAGGTACTTCATGATGCGGTACAGAGGATAGGTGTCATAGAGCAGAAGAATAGAGGTTTGAGGGACGTGGTACGTGACCTCGTCGTTGGCACAAAGCAGGCGAGACAGTCCACCTCACGACTCGAGCAGAGGAATACTGATCTAGAGGAGGGTCAGAGGCGTCAGGCCATGACAGATCTGGTCGACGAGATGAGGACTGAGGGGCAGCAGGTTTCTATCAGACAGGCACACGTCTCTCATGGGGTAGAGCCGGGTGGAGTGAGATTGGACATCCCTCGACGAGACTCACACACGGAGAAGCCACTTGGAGCTATGGGGATGACATGCGAGGAGGCTGCAGTTGTCGATAATCTCATGCTTGAGCCAGACAAGATTGAGAGGAGAAGAAAGCCAGAGGCACATGGTTTGGACTGGGTCCCTCCATCAGAGTTGGCAGTCCAGGGAGATGCATGGCGAGAGATGGACGGTAGGCACGGCGAGCGAGAGACGGTCTCAGAGTCACGAGATGTCATACCACAGCAGGACATGAGAGGGTCAACTGCGATACTGCCTACAACTCTACCGTTTACACCAGCTCCGATGGACGACATAGTGCACCTCCTTTCTTCAGGGTCTGAGAGATGTGACAAGGAGGTGACGCCTGAGAGGGCCTCGAGGATGTTGAGTATTGATACGGTAGATAGAGTCGTACAGGATGTGACAATCCGACTCGAGAGAGCAAGAACTCAGGTCTTACCCAAGCCTAAGAAGGCGAAGGTAGAAGGCAGCAACACCGGTGGTATGTGCTCATGGTGTGACAGAGGAGTGCACGACAGAGTTGTTTGCCCTGCCTTCCAGGTTGACCTCAGGAGACAAGTTGTGCAGTTCGATGGACAGGGACTAGTCAGGGACATGCATGGCACTCGTCTTCCGACAAGACGTCACGGTGTTAGGAGAGTTGTGTATGACAGACTAGGCCTGAAGATGAGAGAGGATGAGTGATAGATTACATATCCACGAGACGCACGAGAGGCCAGACTATGAGATCTCAAAGAGAAGATCAATGGGAAAATAGGTGGCTATTATGGGAGATAGATTGTTGGGCTCGTTTCATATTGTTATCTTCTTTGAGGGCTCCGAGGCATGGACAATGTATACCTCATGATTTGTATATTGGGAATTTTTGACTTCAAATTTTAGAACCCGAGCCGTGTACTATATCTAGTTGGTGATCAGATTTGGCTGGTGTTTCAGTAGACTGTACATACATGATATGCTACTAGTTTTAGTAGGTTGGCTTGAGTAGGGGTTTCGGTGATTGCCCTGGGCGTGAGAATCCAGTTTTATGTGAGTTTTGGTTCAGCCTATTCCTATGCATTTTTGTCAAACACTTTTCACTGACTCTCACACACTGATTCATATGCAATCAAGGTCAGAAACCATTTGTTCAACAGTCACACAACTTACTCACAACCGATAAACAGGTACAAGCATCATAGATGTAAGGGAAGTGAGCACAGGTCCACACTTTGAGAATATTCTATGACTCCCGGTTTTCCACATGAGATCCATACGCCTTAATAAAAAACCTAACAATAGGGCATACTGAAAAATAAAAACAAGGACAAACCAGCATAGTATTGTGTCCCGTAGGATACATCTGCGCAATAGGCGCCGAATCTCAGAATCAATTATGAAGAATCGAACGTCTCAAGTGAGTATATTTTTCTGACAATTGGAGCAATGCCCCTTAACGAAACAATGTAACTCGCACGGACACTTACTAACTCAAGGTCCTATCTGAAAGTCATACTCAAATCAAACACATACCCACACCAAACACACACTAATCTCACACAAAGCTCCTACAAAACTCACACAAAAAAAACTTGTTTGTAAGGCTCTGGGGCCGGTAGTCACATCTGCCATGATCAAGCATAACAACTACAAGCATTTAAAGTTGGCTCAAGAGTATTTTGGAAAGCTTAAGCCAAAGGCAAAATCGGCATCGTTGGGGCAACCCCCAACGTGGGCTGTTGTCCCGCCTAACTAGGATAGCGGACCCCTAGCGTAGCCTGAACTTAGAGACGGAGGAGTGACTTGCACCATCATCCACGACATATAATATATATAAGCGAGTTATTACGGTTAGTATTATTAATTACTACTTACTATTATTAATATTATTTTTATTATTACTATCCTTATTATTATTATTACAATCATCATATGGGAGGGCTAAATATTTAAGCCAAGTATCGGGTCACTCGAAAGGCTCTAATTAGGGCGACGACTAGGGGGGACTTAGGTCTAAAAGTCAGAGAGTCGCCTTAGCATTGTGCAAACAATGTAGGCAACATCGCGGCTTAATAGCACGATGAACCGTGGTTTGGCCTGATCAGGTAAACTATAGTGGGCCGAGGGCATGACTATAAACCCACCTGTGACTAGACGCAAGGTCGGCCCGAGTTTTTATTTAATTGCATGGAGTGAGCTATGTGCAACACTATGTGTATCTCAAGTTGAGCTACTCAAGAGGGCCTGCATTTGTATGTTAAGCCACCAGAGAAGTATGCTACTTTTTTCGATTGCAGAGTGAACCACCTAGAGGAGTATGTTGTGATTTTGCTGAGCTACTCGAAAAGGGGTGGGCTACCTACGTTTGTTGTGTGCTGTAGTTTTTCCTACTCAGGGCAATTGTCCTACCTAAAACCCACGCCCGAAGATGACAGCTTCTTGATAGCAGGATTCAGACGACACCCAACGAAAGTCGGAAGGCGTCTAGGGCAAACGAAAGGGTTGGTATTTAAACACTGAAGCTAACTTAGGGCGGTAGTATAAAGAAAGTATCCCTGTGAGTCAGACAGGAGATGCATGTTGGACTCCTGCTCGTCATAGGGACGCCGCAAAACTAGAATACCAAACTCCAAGTTGATTCCTTTCGATTATACGGATTTGGTTATCCATCTGCTCAGTCTATGCATTTACCTGTGATTTCGTTCATACCTTTCTACTCCTTACCCAAAGCGACGGGGACGTCGCTTAATGGGGTCTGGGAGGATTGTCGTAGCAAACACCCTTACAAGGGTATTTGTCGTCTTTTTTAAAGGTCGCAATGTGTGCGTCCTTCATCAACATAATACGCTAATGGGGCAAACCCCGTCAGGGCGCTCACCTCGGTAACCTCGCTCTTGGCGAGAGTCCGACTCGAATACGGCCAGATTAGAAAGTATGTGGGGCACGCATTACTGCATTGCACGGTGAGATAGTCGTTAGTCATCGACAATACTTGGCTGGCGAAATGGTGCCAAAGTCGTAGGGCCTGATTACTCTCCCTTCTGTAATTTTATTGTTGATTATATTTTTCTTTTATTTTATAAAGACTAGATTTACTTCGCAACTAGTTCGGCCTCTGGCGGGACACGGCACCAAGAGGATAAAAACTTTACCTTGCGCATAGGTGGGAAGTTTATATTGGATGACGCGTCAAAAGGCGCGACGTTGGCAAACCTCGTATGGGGGAAAGTCGAAAGTTTAACAAAATATGTTGCATCTTCTGACGACCAGGATGTTGGCAAGTAGGCCAAGGCGGACGCCTGGTTTGTGCGGGTAGGACTAATCACGGTCCCACGACTATTCATACGCAGGTTCACGCCTACCTAGCTCAGCCTTCGGCCTAATTCTAATGGCTATGGTACTGGACTTTCAAGCGACAGGTTTGGGGTTCGAGGTCAGAAAGCGGCGATGGAGCAAAGGAGCGAGACCGACGGAGACTGAGGGATCGAGGGTCTTAAGGGACTATCCCCCTTGGTTTTGTCGAACGGGCCCAAGCCTGGGTCCGACTCGAAAGACCAAGACGGCGACAGCAGGTCCTCGTCCTCTTCATTTGTACTATTTTTGTTTTGTTGATTTATTTTTATTTTTATTTTATTTTATTTTATTTTATTATTATTTTTTTCTTTCTTAAGGACCCATCTATTGACCAGGCCGGAAGCTGGCTCTGGGACCGACAACGAAGAAGTATCGCGAGGGAGGATGACAAGAACTTAAAAAAATATATATATAAAAAAAAAATTAAAATTGTCGAGCGAGGAGCGGATGGAGGCAAGCCGTGCACCCGTACCTAAACAGGGGCGGACGACGACTTTATCGCCCCCTTCGTTGACCTTGAACGCAAGGGTGCATACCAACATGGGGTGTAGTGACCGACATTGCTATAGGGAACGACGAAGAACCCATGTCGGTGGCCGTCACAACAGTTTAGGACCTTCAACACACGCCTCTTTTAGCGGTGTCGTTCGGGGTCCTGCGTATTCGGAGTGCTGACAAAGTTCCTTTATCCTACCCGTCTTGGTGCTATAACAGATGGGGTCAACGTGCGTGAAAGACGGTGGGTGCATAGCCCACGGAGCGGAAGAAACCCGAGTGGAAGGGGCACTTTGCAAGTGCACCACTCGCCAACCGCAATCTGCTGTGGGAGGCTGATGTAAGAGCATGCCCGTCGTGGCCCGAAAAAGGGTGAACTGTGCCTAGGTAAGTCACAACCAGAAGGAACCCTAGCGGGGGCACACTGCAGGCGCACCATCCGCCAACCATGTTTTGCTGTGAAGAGTTCGAGTATGAACAGGTCTGTGGGAACATTGTCACTAGGCCAAGCTGAGTGGTACACCCACGAACTGTCGAAAAACAGGTTTGTGGGAACAGTGTCACTGGGCCTAGCTCAGCTTGTACACCCACAAACTGTTGAAATACAGACCTGCGTTCCAACTCCACTGGAAGCAGATGAGTGAAATCCTAAAATTATGAATTACCTATGGCTAGCCTGTTCGATGGGGGCACATCCAAGCTGCCGCTACGGGTAGATACATTTAGGAAGGATATTAGTGCTAGTACGCCTTGTGTGATGTGCAAAGTAACAATGCAGTTGGTCCCCTATGAAGTTTCCGGCTCGCAGCAGATACTGCAAATCATTTATCGGACTTGGGTATAGGGGCGAAAGACTAAGCAAACAGGCCAGCTGCAGTTGGTTCTCTCTAAAGTTTTCCTTATGTGGCCAGAACTTTGGATTGCGCTAGAGTGTTGTCGAAGTGGGCTGCGCTAGAGTGCTGTCGAAGTGGGCTGCACTGCACTGCTGTCAAAGTGGGTTGCGCTATATTGTCGTCAAAGTGGGTTGCGCTAGAGTGTTGTCAAAGGACACGAAGGACTGTGCTAAGTGTCAACAGAGGAAAGGAGACGACGGGGGAATCAGGGAAGAAGGGAAGAAAACAGTGAGGCAACGGTGAAGGTGAGTGAGAGGAGAAGCGGAGCAGGCAAAGGAAGGTGCATGAATCTGGCCGAGATCAGGGCCAGGTACGGGTAGGCGGGTGAAGGAAGTTGGCGAAGATGAAAAATGGGTATGATGAAGCCTTAGGGGAAAAAAACATAAGTTATCTTTTCTCTGACAGATTGAGACAAGACAAAGGAGAAAACTAAGGTTTCTGGCAAGGGCGAAACCAGATTTGCAGTTAGATCGAGCAAAGGATTAATGGAATTAGAGTTAGAATAGAAAAAAGTGCGCGGATAAGTCGAGGAGGAAAATTGGAGAGCGGAAACGGGAGTGAAAATCTTCTATCTCGCTCATTTCTTAATGAAAACGAATAAGGAAGGATTCAAACTAGGGGTTTCGAAGAATTGCAAACAGATTGAGCGCACCAGAATTTCGAATGGAACGATGGTTCGGCCAGTATGAGCGGTTGAGGCTGCGGGAGCACTATGGAGGGGATTTTGAATATGGGGATGTATCTTACCCTATCTCAGCGAAAGATTCCTTTTGCAAATTTGGTGAGTAGCGATTGGATCCACTACGGCAGTCTTCTTCCTCATGACGATTATTGTCGTTTATTTGATTATTGACTAGTGAGATGCGTCCTAGTCGATCGACGACGAATCGCGCTTGGGACTTCAACCCCCCCAGTGCGTCGGTTCGCATGCAGGTCTGATAGAGGCGTGAGACCGCACGTACCGCCTATGCTACAACGAACGAGAA